ATTGGGGTTGCTGAGTCGGGATGAAATATACTGGAGAAGATTCCTTCCTTTACTATGTGGGCAGTGTGAGGTCGATGATGTCCTGAAATATCCTGTTCCTTGAGTTTTAACTGCTTGTGGTTTGTAAGGGCAGTGACAGGAAAGTCATTCTCTGTCCCTTGGTGATTCTAACTGGTTTCTGAAAGGAAGGCTTTTATGGGAAACATTTTCAATTTTTTTTATACGTTTATTTTTTCTCATGTGATTAGATGAAGACCGAGTCATCTGTTCTTTTGTTTAAATAACTGAGGTGGGATGTATCACTAGACCAGGGGTAGGCAACCTGCGGCACGCGAGCTGATTTTCAGTGGCACTCTCATTGCCTGGGTCCTGGCCACCGGTCCGGGGGGCCCTGCATTTTAATTTAATTTTAAATGAAGCTTCTTAAACATTTTAAAAACCTTATTTACTTTACATACAACAATAGTTTAGTTATATAATATACACTTAGAGAGAGACCCCTTCTAAAAAAACATTAAAATGTATTACCGGCACGCGAAACCTTAAATTAAAGTGAATAAATGAAGACTCGGCACATCACTTCTGAAAGGTTGCCGACCCCTGCACTAGACTATTCAATTAATGGAGAGAGTGATGCTGGCCCAGCGAACAATGGAGTCTGCAGATACCTGACTCATTATAAGCACATCTAACGAGTATGTACATTCATGATTTGGTAAAGTTACCCACAGAAGTTAGCCAGAATTAGAGGGAAGATAACGTGCTCAGTCCTCAGGAGCAATCCATCCTACACAACGTTACAGCTGGCAGCAAACAAAAGCTTGGACTGGGATGTGGGCCAGGATTAAGGGTGAAGGTTCTGGGACAGCAACAGATTCATTAATGATCAGACTTACACCAAACATCTCAGGTTGGGTTGATTTGTGGAGTACACTGGATCTCTGGTTTTCTGTACAGCTGTTCCTTCCCCAAACCCGACTGCAAGGACACCACATGCAACAAAGCAGCCAGATTCACCTCCTCCAACAAAGGCTGAATCCAGTTTCTCCCCTACGGCACACACCACTCCTACACGGTGGGTGCCATTACTCTTGTCCCACGTCGCTCTGGTCACTTCTCCCAATGGTGATAACCTCCCACAGAAAAACGAATGTTTCTTTTATCAGCAAGAACCTGGAGGTCCCGTGAGGCTGGATTCATATATAGGAAAATGGTAATTCTAGATGAAGAGTAGCACTGGACAGGGACTGTCTGGGTCCAGTCACATCAGACTGTACAACAGGATGAATGAATCCCCAAGTAGATGCTGTGGTTCCCTATAAGGGCAGGGTCCTGAGGCTCTGTGTGTTGCATCTTCTACAATAACAATGAGGAGTCTGGTGGCACCTTAAAGACTAACAAATTTATTTGGGCATAAACTTTCTTGGGTAAAAACACCACTTCTTCAGATGCAAGTGAGTTTTTTTTAGCCACAAAAGCTTATGCCCAAATAATTTGTTAGTCTTTAAGGTGCCACCGAACTCATTGTTTTTCTGGATACAGACTAACATGGCTACCCCCTGACACTTGACACTATCTTCTACAAGAGTAGTGGCCAACCTGTGGCTCCGGAGCCGCATGCAGCTCTTCAGAAGTTGATATGCGACTCCTTGTATGGGCACCGACTCCGGGGCTGGAGCTACAGGCGCCAACTTTCCAATGTGCCAGGGGGTGCTCCCTGCTTAATCCCTGGCTCTGCCACAGGCCCTGCCCCCACTCCACCCCTGAGCCTGCCGTGCCCTTGCTCCTCCCCCTCTCCACTCCTCCCCCTCTGAGCCTCCTGCACGCCACAAAACAGCTGATTGGGAAGTGCGGGGAGGGAGGGGAAGGCGCTGATCGGCAGGGCTGACGGTGGGTGAGAGGCTCTGGGAGCAGGGTGGGGGAACTGATGGGGGGCTGCTCAAATTTACGGAGCTTTAGAGTTTCTATTGTATTTCCACTGCATAGATTCCAACCCAGCATCATCTGTTTCCTGCTCCTGATGTTATTGAAGGTTCTCCTCTTCCTGTGCATAGTCTGTGCTGTGATCTGGATGAGCGTGCGCTACAGGAGGAGCCACAGGGAGATGGTGCCAGACAGACAAGGTGAGATCGTCCAACATTCCCACTATGGGGTGACACACTCCATGGGAATGTTCTCAGTATTCTCTTGAACACCAAGGGCTCAATTATAGCTTTCCTGTGAGCACAATA